CCCCCCCCCTTAAAATTCGTAGGTCATTCTTGTGGCTACAATGTATTCATTTTCATTGCTGGATCGTGTTCCACCATGTACCCATTCTATGTCCACGGACATTTGGTTTGTTTCCAGTTTGAGGCCATTATGAAGGATACTGCTGCATACGTTGTTGTACCTCGCTGAACATCTCCAAGTCGCGTTTTGCGTGCATTTCCCCAGTGTATGTACAGAGGAAGAGGGGAATAGCTGCCTCATGGGATGTACTCATCTTCAGCTTTACTAAATGAAGCCAGACTGTTCCCCCCACGAAAAAATGCACGCATCCGCTATAGGACATCCTCACCACGACTTGCTATGGTCAGACTCTTGAATCCGGGTTAACCCCGCGAGCGTAGACGAGTAACTCCTGCTCCTTTCCGTTCATTCACTCCCTAGTCACTCACACATTTCATTTATGTGACAGTTTGGTGTTCTGCCAGGCTTCGAGGACGCCTGATGAATAAGAGATACGGTTCCTGCCTTCCAGGAGCTCACACCCCAGACAGAGGAGAGAGGAGAGAGCAGCGAGAGAACAGGCAGAAAGGGAGAGGGAAATGAGGGAAGCCTTACCAAGCGGGATGAGCTTGGTGGCCCTGGGGCACAGGAGCAGAGCCTGGAGGTTAGTCTGAGAAGGCTCCCTGGAGGAGGGAACATTCAGGAAGACTGAAGGAAGGGTAGGAATTGGGGAGGGCGCAAGAGAAGGGAAAAGAGAGGGAGATAAGGCATTACAAGTACCTCGGGCAGGTCTGGGCTCGGGGAGAGGGAGGCTGAGGCTGCAGACTTGTGCAGGGGCCAGGCAGCAAGCGTCCTGTGGGGCAGGCCGGAGGTCTCGGACAGCCTCACCTCAGGGCAGCGGGAGCTATGGAAGGGATTCAAGCAGGGGAGTGGCACCATCAGCCTGTTTTAGAAAGAGCCCCGTGCCGGCTGTTGTGTGAGAATGAATCAGAGGCCGCCGTTTCACACAAGTCATCCAGGCTTGGGGACTCCAAGAGGCACATCCCCAGCTCCACGGCCCCTGCGTCACCTGCACTGGCCCAGCATTTCGCGAATGACCCTCATCTTGGCCTCAACTCTGGGACGAGAGCAGGGTACTGCTTGTGTCCCATCTGACCTCATTTCTTCTTGTTTCTGCTCTGCTTCTCCCCTCCAGCCACAACGGCCATCTTGCCATTCTTCAAACACGCCAGGCATTTACACCCACCTCAGGGCCTTTGCACCTGCCATTCCCTCTGTCTGGCATGCTCTTTCCCAAATATCTGCTTGGCCTACTCCCTCACCTCCCTCAGACTTTTGCAAAAATGTCATCTTCCCCGGGAGCCTTTCTTGATTCCCCTATTTAAAACTCCACACACACCCTCATCGGTATTCTCCATTCCCCTTCCCCTACTTTATTTTTCTCCAAAGCACCTATCACCATTTGATATACTGCCTGTTTTACTGATGTGATTGTTTGTGTCTTTCTCTTCCTGTTTAAGAGGAAGGCACTGAGAGCTGGGATTTGGGTCTGTTTTGCTTGTTGCCATAAGCCCGGTGCCTAGAACTGCATCTGAGATGTCGCAGGTGCTTAACAAATCTGTGGAAATGAAGGAATCAATGTCATGAACACCAACGGCAACAGAAAAATCAGCATGAAGCCCCACTACCGTAATATAGTTTGTTCCTGTTATCGAGCAGCCACCATGGGCCAGGCTCTGTACTGAGCACCTTTCAGGCTCCATCATCTCAGTTAATCGGGATAATGGCAGGGCTGTTAGGAAGACACTATCATTATTTCCATTCTACAGATGAGGACACCAAGGCTGAGGATTACACAGCCAGGGCTGACTCCAGAGCCTGGGCCTTGACCGCTGTGCTCCTCCGTGCCCCTCGTGGGCAGATGGGGAAACCGAAGCCCTCCAATCTGCAGGCACTTTCCCTAACCAATCAGCAAATAAACCCAGGGTCAGAATGAGGACCCTCCTCTTTGCACTGCCGCTTGCGAGCCCCTTGCAGACACTGTCCTCCCTGGAGCCCATCTGGACCCCCCCCCTCCTGTCCCCTAAAGCTGGTGGAAGTCAGGGTAGGGGCTGCTCCCCATCCCTGTTCACAGCTGTGTCCCCTACAGAGATGTACCAGTTCAGCATTCAGGAGTCGGCCCCCATCGGCA